TTCCTTTCTCTCTCCCTCTCTCTCCTTTTTCCTTTCTTTCTCTCTCCCTCTCTCTCCTTTTTCCTTTCTTTCTCTCTCCCTCTCTCTCCTTTTTCCTTTCTTTCTCTCTCCCTCTCTCTCCTTTTTCCTTTCTTTCTCTCTCCCTCTTCCTCTCTTTCCTCTCTCCCTCCTTCTTTCTCAACCTCTTCCTCTCTTCTCTTCCATGATTTCCCCATCCTCCAGAAGAGGCTGCCAGGAACGGCGACCGTAACGACTGCGGGCGGAAGACGCGCGTAGAAAGCGGCTACTTTTCCTTGGAGAAGACCAAGCAGGAGGTCAAGGCAGAGGAGCACCAGCTGCCGGGCCTGCCATCCCCCCCGAGCCCCTGCGCCCCCAACCACAGGTACGGTGACTCCCAATCTCAGCAGCCGAGCGGTTCCTTCCCTTCTTCAGGTACCTGGCCGGCTGGCCGAATGGTGCACAGTTTCTCTCTCAATTCCCTGGACGTCCGAGGCCTCCGGTTCCCCAAGCACAAGGACTCCGCCGGCCGCAATGGGGCGAGGACCGAGGAGAGGCGCAACGGCCCCTCTGCCTTTAAAGTCAGCCGCAAATACTCCACACTGGCCGATGTGCCCAAGGCGATCCGCATCAGTAACCGCGAAGCTTTCCAAGTCGAGCGGAAGCGGCTGGAGCGGAGCTCCCGGGCGAGGAGTCCCGGCCGAGAAGAGGTCGCTCGGCTGTTCGGGAACGAGAGGAGGTAAGACCCGAATCGGGGCCTCGCTTTTCGGCTGGCGGAGGATGAAAACTGTCTTTTGGAAGGGAGGTTTTTGCCCCAAAACAGATTGGATGGCCAGATTGGGTTTTGAAGCCTCCTACAGGTAGTCCTCGACTTAACGACCACAGCTGAGCCCAAAATTTCGGGTGCTAAGCAGGATGGTTGCTAAGTGAGTTTTTGATCCATTTTGCACCCTTTCCTGGCACAGTTGGTAAGTGAATCACTGCAGTTGTTCAGTTGGTCACACGGCTGTTAAGCGGATCTGGTTTTTACAACGACTTCGCTTGTCAGGCGGTCGCAAAATGGATCACGTGGTCACAGGACACGACCGTCATAAATGTGAGTCAGTTGCCAGTGGCCTGAATTTTGATCATGTGACCATGAGGATCCTGCCATGATCATGTGAAAAATGGCCATAAGTCACTTTTTTTTCAGTGCCCTTGTAACTTTGGAAGGTCACTAAAAAGCTGTTGTAAGTTGAGGACTATCTGTATTGGTCTCGCTGGGTTGCCGAAATGGGTGGATCAGACAAGACTTCAGGATGTTGCTGGTCCCCCATAATGGCCAAAGCCGCAGCATTCTTTTCTGGAACGTGTTACATGCCATCCGCATTTAGTGACCACAATTGGGATCGGCAATTTGGTTGTTAAATGAAACAGTTGCTAAGTGAAATTGCCTTCCTTTTTACGCTCTTCCTTCAGCTTTCCTTTGCTTTGCACATCTGCGAAGGTTTGCAAAAGCAGGGTTTCGTCGGTCGCTAAATGAGGACAGTCTGTACTGCGCCAGAAGCCCTCGTGATGAAGAAGGGAAAAAAGAATGTTTTAAATCTTTGCCGACCTGGGAAAATATTTTTTGCAGAAGTTGTGCAAGCATTAACGTTCAGAATTAGGTCATGAAATGTGAATCATATTTGTTTTTTTAATTTTTTTAAAGACTTTAAGTTTCTAGCCCTCATGGGAGGGGGAACAGGAGCATGCACAGACAGGCCCTCCGACAGGACCCTGGCCCAGAAGGTCAAACCTGAAAGCTTAGCATGGCTTGTGCTTCGGCCCGCTTTTCTAAGGGGTCTTAAGCAGCTTATGCGCAAAATACAGGCGCATTGCTCCTTTGAAAGCTTGTGTGGAGGACAGAAAATGTTTACCGGGCACCTGAGTTCAAACCCTTCAATAAATGGTTTTATTGCCTTAATAAGAGGAGTCCTTCGGGATTGGGCGGCCTATAAATTAGCAATAGCAATAGCAGTTAGACTTATATACCGCTTCATAGGGCTTTCAGCCCTCTCTAAGCGGTTTACAGAGTCAGCATATCGCCCCCACAGTCTGGGACCTCATTACTCCCACCTCGGAAGAATGGAAGGCTGAGTCAACCCTGAGCCGGTGAGATTTGAGCCGCTGAACTGCAGATAACAGTCAGCTGAATTGGCCTGCAGTACCGCACCCTAACCACTGTGCCACCTCGGCTCTTTTACAAAAGGGTTGGATTTCCAAAGGAAACCCTAGAGAGGGAAATAAATGTACACTCCCTGGGGGGAAAAAAATCTGTAAAGGGTTAGGACAGGCTTCATTAAACATCTAGGATGCCATTTGACAAAAAAATGTGTTGAACAAGGGCAGCTAATTGGAGGTGTCAGAAAATACTTTGGATGAATTGACCAAGA